CAAGGATTAGTAAAAATTGTTAACATTTACAAAAATGTTTTTACGTGCTATAAAAAAAAAAAAAAAGAAAATTTAGTAAGTTAATTATAAATAAAATTATTTAAAGTTTAAAAAAAAAAAAAAAAAAATAGAAATGGGAAAAGACATTTTATGGTTTAAAAAGAAAATTTATAAATTTTTAAGTTTAAAAACAAGTTTAAAGTTTGGACTTTAAATTGTTTTTTTTTTTTTTCGTTAATTGGTTAGATGAAAAAAACTTTTCTTTTTTTTTTTTTTTTTTTTTTGATAGTAATTTTTTCAACTTTTCGAATTAATTATTTATTTAATTAATTTTTTTTTTCGCGCGGTTTTTATAAAAAAAAAAAAAATAATAATAATAAGGTGAAATATAAAATATTAGTTTAAATTTTCAAACTTTTTTTTTTTTAAAAATGTTTTAAGTTTGTCGTTAATACGAAAGCTAAACTAAAAAATTTTGTGTTTGTTGCTTACAAAAAAAAAAAAAAAATTTGCGTTTGTTTTATAATTTTGTTAAAATTTTTGTTTTTAATTAAATTTTTATTTATTTAAACTTCATTATTGCAAATTTTTCTTATTTTTTTCTTATTTTTTTAAAAAGTTGTAATTTATCGTAATTTTGTGTATTTTCAAAAATTGAAAATTTATAGATCAATTTATTTGAGTTGGCAAACAAAAAAAAATGAAAATTTTCTTCTTCATTTAGAAAATTCTATTTCGAATCGAAAAGAAAACTGTTTAGTAAAGAAAAAAAAAATTTTTTTTCGTAACATTTAGTTTTCAAAGGGGAAAAACTCAAGTTAGAATTAGTCGAATTTAGTATTTTTTTTTTCTTTTTACAATCCATAAACGGTTTTTTTTTTTTTTGTACAAAAGTACAAAATTCAAATTCAACCGAAATTATTAACAAATAAATAATAAAACAATTTTTTTTCGTATTTATTAATTTAAATTATTAAAAAAAAAAAAAAAAATTGAAAATTTCCTGCTAATATTTATTTAAATTATCCAAACAAGGTTTTGTCCTTATTATTAATCTCCCTAAATTAAATAAACATTAATTTTGTAATAGAAAAATAATAATAATAATAATAACGAATTTTGAATTAAAATCCATTGCATTACATTTATATTGTTAAATAATTGGCCAAAGTAATACATATATTTATTTATTTATTTTATTTATTTATTTTGTATATATACGATTTCATCATATTAATTATATTTGATTTGAGTTTAATTAAAGTTTACAAAGTAGATTTTAATTATTCATGCGTTGTAATTTGGTTAATTAGTTTTTTAGTGCGAATTAAAGATTTTTAGTTTTTTAATAAAATTTAATAATTTTATTTTTTTTCATAATATTTATAAAAAAAAAAAAAATTTGCGCGTTTGCCATATTGATTTTCTATCTCTCTCTCTCTCTCTCTCTCTCTCTCTCTCTCTCTTTTTTATTCGTTTTGTCATTAAAAAAAAAGGAAAAAGTCGTTAAAACATCATTGGTAAAATTTTATACATAAAAAATTTCATTTAACAAAAAAAAAAAAATAATTAATCGAAATAATTAATCCTTTTTACTTTTTTTTTTATCGTTGATTATTTTTTATTTATTTACGTACGGCCATTTTAATTTTTAATTTTATTTATTAGAAAAAATACGTCGTTACACGTAATGAATGAATTAAATTTTATTATAAATAAAAGAATTGTTTAAAAGAAAAAAAAACACGACGTGACGTTAATAATTTTTCTAATTGTTTTTTTTTTATAAAATCATTATTATTATTATTATCATTGTTTTTCTTTTTTTTTATTAAATGTACATTCCCCCCTCCTCCCTGTTTTCCCCCTTCGTTTTCTTTTTTTTTTTTTTTACAATAAAGCTCGAAAATATTTTTTAAATGACTTTTTAATAATAAAATTTATTTTTATTAATTTTTTTTAAAAGTGTTTTGTTCGCTTGTATACATATTGTTATATTAATAATTGTTTTCGTCTGCTTCTCAGTAATAATAATAATAAATAAATTTTTTAAAAATTTTATTATAATCGTGAGATTTTTCTTGTCACTTATTTTAAAAGCTTTATTAATTATTATTAAAAAAATTATAAAAATTATTTTTTTTTAACAATGTCAAAAAATATATATATATATATATATATATATATATATATATATATTTATAATATAATAATAATAATAGTATAGAAATCATAATATAAGAGGTCTATGAACTCAATTTGAACTTTAACTTTTTTTAGGGCAATGTACTGGAATTTTATTATATATATATATATATATATATATATATATATATATATTTTTTTTTTTTTTTAAATTTAAACAAGTTACTTTTTAGGTTTTTGAATTTTCCCTAAAAAAAAATTTTTTTTTCCTGATGAGTTTGCGTGTATCGTTACAGAAGTTTTCATGTCATCGTTCAACCTGATGAAAATTTTTCAGTCTTCGGATGTTGCGTACGTGAAAATCATTTTCCAACCGTTTTCTTCATTCAATTTTTTACCGTCTTCAATACGATTAAAGTAAAATTAAAAATGGTTGCCGTTAAAAATTAGTTTAAAAAACAAAAACAAAACAATTTGTGACTTTATACGTTTTTAAACAATATTAGTATAATATTACAATAATAATAATAATTATTTTTTAGTTTATTAATAATTTTAATTATTAATAATTTAGTTTAAAAAAGCAATTAAAAAGTATTGATAAAACAAATGTGAAAAGAGCCTACGTATTTTCCAGTTAAATAATAATTTCATATCTCTACCCTTGATTAATTATCCGAGTATTATTATTATTATTATAAAAATATTTTATAGAATATGTATTACGTCATATATTTTGTAATTATAATTTAACAAAAGTTTTATCGTCAACAAGAAAGTTGTTCAAAACTAAAACATTTTTTTTTTAATTTGCCAAAAAAAGAAAGATGATGATGATGATCGCTTGTTTTTAATGACAAACAGTAAACAAAAAAATTTTTTTTTTCAAGTTCAAGAGTTTTTGGAAAAAATTTGTTACATCCAGTATTATTTATTTAATGACTATCACTTACATTTTCCATTTAAACGTCATACGTGTTATACGTATGACGTCAAAAAAAATTTTTTTAAATTATTAAAAATAAAAAAATTTAATGTCGGACGATAATTTTTTACCTATGTATTTTTATTGGCGTTTTAAAAATCAGTATCAAATTACAATTACTTTATCATTAATGTTTTATATAATATATTTAATTTTATATTCAACCATCATCATCATTGAAAAAATCATCATCATCATCATCAATTTTTTTTTTTAATATTAACTAAGGGTGTGTCTAATTAAATATATAAATATATGTACCGTTTGTTTTAAAGCCCTAATTAATTAATTAATTAATTAATCTTATATTTTTTGCGGTATTGAAAAAAAAACTTATAAATATTTACAATTTAATTTTTTACATAAATTTTCCAAACCACATTTTCTTTTTTTTTTTTTTTTACGTAAATTTTTCTTTTAGAATCATTTTATCGAACGTTAAATAATGATAAATTTTTGAAAAATGTTGTTTAATATTATTATTATTTTATAAAAATTGAATATTAATAAAATGCTTAAGACTCATATTTATTATTATTTTATAAGTGATTTTTATTTATTTTTATTAATGTTTTTAATTTTTGTAAAATATGGATTATCTAAAACCGTTGATAATAATGAAATAGGTGAGTTTATTAAATTTTATATTTATGTTAATCGAATTGTTTTTTAATTAATTAATTTTTTTTTTTTGTTAATAAAATTATTTAAGTTGTTTATTTATTTTAATGTATTAATTTTAGGCATAAGTAAAAATTCATGTTATTAATATCGCGAGTAATAATAATAATTAATTTTTCGAATCAAATTAACACACATGCACATGGCAAATAAATTTTCCAAAAAAAAAAAATAATAATCGTGACGTAATTAACAAGTTAATGACGTCACGATTATTTTTTGATTTTAACGTTAAATTTTAAATTGTGTTAAATAGTACCCTGAAAAATCAAAAATAGGCCTATACAAAAGAAGTAATTGTATTAAAACGAGGAAAACTTTTTTTATTATTTTTTTTTTTTTTTGTGGTAACTTTTTCCCTTAAGCCTTTTTTTATTGTCAAAGGATTACGAATTTTCCATTTTTAAATGATTTAAAAAAATTTTTTTTTAGCCCGAATTAAAAATTTACACAATTTTAAAAGCGTAAAAAATAAAAAGAGTAATAATTATTGAAAAAAAAAAAATTTTTTTTTTTTTTTACTTTTATTATTATTATTATTATTATTTTTGCTGATATTTTTTTTTGCTTTTTTTTTCCCCCCATGATAGGTATCGCGAAAAATGAAAGTAAAAAAAATTACGTTACTCTGGGTTTTTTAGGATCTTATGGACATAGTCAAGTTGGTTTAGGGGCTTTACCTTTAGCCATTGATGCCGTAAATAAAGATCCTAATTTATTACCAGGTAAAATCATTATTATCAATTGTTTTTTTTTTTTTTTTAAATTTATTTCATTATGCATTTTAAAATAGTGTATTTAGATAATCGGAGTTTATATATATATATAATTTAAATCAAAACTTACTAATAATGGATTATGCAGGACTCGAATTACGTTATGTTGCTGCCGATATCGGTACAAAAACTCCATCAAACGGATCAATATCTTTTGCGGCTTGTGCTATTGAAAAAATGACAGAAATGAGGGATAATGGGTCCATTGCTTTTATAGGACCAGATGATACGTGCAGTTCTGAAGCGTTAGTAGCAGCTGCTTGGAATTTACCAATGATATCTTACGTGAGTTATATACACATAGAAATGATAAAAAATAATTTTTTTTGACAGTTTATTATACTTACAATCAATAATATGAACAAAAAAAAAAAAACAGCAACAACGCTTTTATCCAATAATGTAATTATAGTAATAATTTTTATTGAAACAGAAATGTGCAGATACTAAAGTTTCAGACAAAAGAATTTTTTCAACATTTGCAAGAACTTTACCTCCATCATCTAAAGTTTCTAAATCGGTTGTGTCACTTTTGAAAGCTTTTAATTGGCATCGTTTTACAATGGTTGTTTGTCAGAGTCATGCTTGGGTGGAAGAAGTCAGAGATGCTATTGAAGTATTTGTTCTCTTACATTATTAAAAAATTATACTCATTTCCCTTTTTTTATATTCTAAAACATTTGAAAAAATTCGTTTGTTTTTTCAGAGTCTTGCTGAATCGTACGGTATGATAATAGCCGATATGAAACTATATTCCGATTACATTCCTAGAAATATAAAAATAATGGATAGTATAGTTTTTGAAACGTATCGAAGCACGAGAGGTTCATTTTATTTAATTTTTTTTTTTTTTTTTACCGTTATAAAAATATAAATTTTCATTTTATATTAGTTTTATATTTTTATTGATTTTCAGTTTACGTTTTCATAGGAGAACACATTGCTTTGGTTGATTTCGTCAAGTGCTTACAAATGCGTCATTTATTAGATAAAGGAGAATATGTAATAATTTCTGTAGACGATGAAATATATGATCCAGATCGTAAATTTAACGTTGTTGCAAGGCCCTACATAGATCCATATTTGAAATATAAATCCGGTGATGTCGAGTATATAATGGGTTTTAAAAGCGTTTTGAAATTAACTCCATCTCACCCTAAAAATCCTGATTACCAGTAAGCATTTTTTAAAATTACTTCTCAACTTATATTTGGTCAGATGCAATTCAATTGACAAATAAAAATATTTGAACCTGATGTAATTTAAAAAATTATTATTTTTCATAGAATTATTTGTGAAAATATAAAACGGTATTCTGCTAAAACGTTTAGTGTTCCTTACCATAATACAATTTTCGACAGCATATCCGTTCCTATTCATGCCATGTATTTGTACGATGCCGTCATGATTTATGCGAAAGCATTAACAGAAGTCATAAATATGGGTCAGGATCCGAGGAACGGTAGGGAAGTTTTAAAAAAAATATGGAATCGAACGTATCATTCCGTGCAGGGCTACGACGTAGGTAAAATTAACAGAATAAAAAATTTTAATTTTATCTCATTCATTGTTGATTAAATTTTTAATCAGGTATTTATTGATGGTAATGGGGATGCGGAAGGAAATTATAGTGTTATTGCTCTGATGGAAGATAATACGCTGAATAATACGATTCAATTATCCATGCAACCTGTTGGATTTTTTCAATATAATAGTTCATCATCGATTCCACATTTACCTGTAAAAAAAAAAAATGAAATACATTTAAATACAAAAAAAAAAAATTTATAAATTAATAATAATTTAAATTATATTTTTGATTTTTTTTTTAATTAGAATTTTAAATATTACAATGAAAATCGTCCGATTATGTGGGCGGGAGGAAATCCACCAAGAGCCGAACCAATTTGTGGATTCAGAGGTGAAAAATGCATAAATAAAACCGATTGGCGTATTGTTATCACCGTCATCGTTGTTGCATTCTTTACGTTAATTGGTTTTATATTAGCTTTTAAGTAACTAAAACAATTAATTTTGTTATTTTTATTGCTCCCCTCCCCCCCCCCCCCACACACACACACACACATTAGTATTTTTATTAAGTATCAATTTTCTTTTTTTTTAATTTATTACTTTTTCAAGGCATTATCGTTACGAACAAAAATTGGCATGTTTGCTTTGGAAAATCGATGGAAAAGACATTACGCTAATACCGTTAGGAGTAAATGAATCCGACACGGAAAAAGCTCTCGTAATATATCACATTTTACTTCGAATTCATTTAAATTTTTAAACAAATTGATTTTTAATTATATATATATATATTTTTTTTTAAATTAAGTTTAATACAAAGAATGAAAAAATTAATTCTTCGATCGCTCCAGACGCTGCTGCCGAATTAGCTCCAAAAAGAGCTTTTACAACTATTGCTTTGTACAAAGGCAACATTGTTGCTGTTAAACCTATTTATAAAAAAAACATTGATCTTACGAGAAACATAAGAAAAGAATTAAAACAGGTAGTTATTAAATTACATAATTTCTAAAAAAAAAAAAAAAAAAGATTAAAAAAACAATTAAATTTTTAATTATTTTTTAAATTAGATTCGAGAAGTAAGTCATGAAAATATAATTCAATTTATCGGAGCTTGTGTTGATCATAATAATGTCTGTATTATAACACCCTACTGCGCAAAAGGGTCTTTGGAAGATGTTTTAGCAAATAAGGATTTACATTTGGATAATATGTTTGTGTCTTCTTTGGTATCCGACCTACTAAAAGGTTTAATATACCTTCACGATTCCGACATTATTTCTCACGGAAGGTTAAAATCCAGCAATTGTTTAATTGATAGCCGATGGGTTTTACTTCTGTCGGATTTCGGTTTGCACGAATTCAAAGGTATTTTTAAGTTTTTTTTTCCTACTTGAATAATTATTATATTAATTTTTAATAATTGATTACGTTGATTTAGCCGGTCAAGAAGAAAGAAAAAAAGATAAAGAGGAAAAAAATTTACTTTGGACTGCTCCAGAATTATTAAGAAATCCTAATTGCTTTCCAAGAGGTACTCAAAAAGGGGACGTGTATTCATTTGGAATTCTTTTGTACGAAATAATCGGTAAACACGGTCCTTGGGGTAATATACCTCTTACCCCTTCAGGTACGACTAAAAATTTTTTTTAGAAATGTCTAATTTTTTTACATTAATCTCAACATTATTAAATTTTTTACAGAAATTATTACAAAAGTTAAAAGTTATCAAAATGGTAAACCTTTTCGACCGCAAACACAAAATATCGATGCTGAGAAATATGTGTTAAAATGCATGGAAAGTTGTTGGGATGAAGATCCAGAACAACGTCCCGATATTAGATATGTAAGAGTAAAATTAAAGGAAATGCAGGCTGGATTGTAAATATTACCGTATAATTTTAAAGAATTATTAATGTTTTTTCGTGTTTTTCTTTTTAATTTTAAATAATTATGTATGTTTATATGAAAATAGGAAGCCTAACATATTTGATAACATGCTTGCGATAATGGAAAAATATGCTAGTAATTTAGAAGCTCTTGTTTCGGAAAGAACTGATCAATTGACTGAAGAGAAAAAAAAAACTGATGCCCTCCTTCATAGAATGTTGCCCAAGTAAGTGCAAACAATAAAAAGCTTTTAGACTTACCCAGAATCTTTAGAGAATCTTCCTTAATCTTGAATAAAAATTAATTGTTTTAATAAATTATATTCTTGTAGATCAGTGGCCGAGTCTCTTAAAAGGGGGGAACCAGTCGAAGCAGAAAGTTTTGATTGCGTGACTATTTACTTCAGTGATATTGTAGGTTTCACGGAACTTTCAGCTTTAAGTACGCCCCTGCAGGTACATTTTCAATTTGAATTTAAAAAAAATTTTTTTTTTTATCATTTTAACGGAAAAATTAATAACTTACGAAAATTCAGGTTGTAGATCTCCTCAATGATTTGTATACTTGTTGTGATTCCATCATCTCTCATTACGATGTATACAAAGTTGAAACAATTGGAGATGCATATATGGTGGTATCAGGCCTTCCGATAAGAAATGGAGATCGTCACGCTGGAGAAATTGCATCGATGGCTTTACACATGCTGAGAAAAATAAATTGTTTTGAAATTAAACATCGCCGTGGAGAACCTATAAAACTTCGAATAGGAATACATTCGGGTACTACAAATTTTTACAGTTAATAGCAAAACTTACATGATTAAAAAAATTTTTTACACCTTAGGACACTGTGTGGCTGGAGTTGTAGGTTTAAAAATGCCAAGGTATTGTTTGTTTGGAGATACAGTGAATACAGCATCTCGAATGGAGTCTTCTGGAGAAGCTTTTAAAATTCATATATCAGAAGCAACAAAATTTCTTTTGGAAAGATTGGGAGGCTACCTTTTTGAAGAAAGAGGCTTGACAACTATTAAAGTAATAAGTTTTGTAATAAGAATTTTTAAAAAAAATGTTTTAAAATAATTTTTAATATAAAATTTAGGGAAAAGGACAAATGAGAACTTACTGGTTGACTGGAGAAGATTCAGCTAAAAGGCTGGCTAGAATAAAAAAAGATGTTATAAACATGTTTAAAGATGATTTAGGAACTGACAGTAAGTCAAACTGAAAATTATTAAACATATTTTGTTCATGAAAAAAAAAAAAAAAAATATTTAAAAACAAAAATATTAATTAAAGGACTTACCGAAACTCCAGACCTTCTTCGTCGTCCAGCTGGAGAATCTGGAAAGAAACAAAATTTAAATAAAATTACTCAACCAGAAAATTATTGTGGGTTAAACAAAAATATTTTACGGTCTAGTTCATCTCAGTTACCTCAGGTAAAAAAAAAAAAATTAAATGTTATGCTTCAAACGTACAAAATTATTATTATTTTTTTTTTTTTTGGTAACTAATAAAACAAATTTTTTTTTAAAGGAAAAATTGAGTGAAAAAGTGACCATGAGTTGCGCCGACATTTTTAATTTTCCTAAATTAACATCCGGTGAAAAAAAAAGAGACAATAGATCAGCTCCCGTAATTACTTTTATGGAAAGTAGTCATTTTTTATAATTATTTTATAATTTAAATACATCTGAATAAATTATTAAAATGTTTATTTTTTAAAATTTATTAATTATTTTTCAATCTCCTTAAAATCATATCAAATAAGTTAATAAATTTTTAGTTGAATAAAATTTTCATTTGTTTAAAAGGTTAGTATATATTAATTAATTATAAAGTTTAAAATATATTTACCTAGTTAAGTCACCGTTTTTCAAAAATATATATACTTTTTATTTATTTAGAAACTAATTGAAAATCACTTTGTATATTTTTTTTTTTAATAGGGTCGTTATTTACTTTTTATGGGTAAATTGGCGCGTTAATTTTTTTTTTTTTTTTATAACCCGGGAAAATCATGCGCCAAATGATTGTGCTGCTTTGTAGACATTTCTTAGAACTAATTTTGTGACGTATTGATTTAATCGATGATAGGTCTAAAACTGTTCCTAACGGCCAATAGAAAAATTTTCAGTATTGTTCAAAAAAATGGCGTCACTACCGTCACCAACGCAGGTATGTTCTTAAATGTTTCAATAATTTAAAAAGCTACTCATGAAAAATTCTAATTTTTGCTCTCGTAGATTACGGTAATAATTTTTATTAATGCAAATTAAAACATTTCATTTCAAAATCATTCTTTTTTTAAGTATTTTCAAAGGTCATCGTTTAACACTATTCGTTTTCCAGTGGGCGGTGTTATGGTAAAAATGATTAACTTAAATCAATAAAACAATGTTTTAATATTTTTGAATACTTTTTACTGGCCCTACAAACTTTATGATGTTAGAAATTAATAAGCACAATTTTAAATTTATTATTTTTTTTGATTTGAGAAATCTTTTGATAATATTAATGAAATTGTAACCATTAATCCTTACAAATTTGACTTGAAGTAATGATGTTTGAAGTTATATTTTTAATAAATTGTATTAAATGTTAATATTAATAATAAGATAAAATCATTTACTAAATAACTTTTAACTCATTAAATTTATACTGATTTTACACAACAGAATATTTTTTTTTTATTTCTATAAAGTAATATCAGGTGATCACTTGTTAAACAACATCCTTATAAATTTACATGTATTAGATGAATTATATATGTTACTTGGATTTTAAAAATATTATTATTATTATAAGTGGTTTATTAGGTTACACAAGGTTAATAAACACATCTAATTTTATTAATAAAAATAATTGATGTTTAAATTTGTCAATATTTTTGTTTTTCGAATATTTCATATTTTTTATAATGTTAATTTTCTATTAGTAAAGTTATAGTGCAAAAATAATTAATTATAAAATGAATTTTTATTAGGTGGCTGGAAGCCATTATCCAATATATGAAGCCTATTATCAACAAATAGATCCAAATAATCAAGGAATAATTGGAGCATTTGAAGCAGCTCATTTTTTAAAGAAATCTAAGCTTTCCGATATTGTTTTGGGAAAAATATGGGACTTATCAGATCCAAATCAAAAAGGATCTTTGAACAAACAGGGATTTTTTGTAGCATTGAAATTATGTGCTCTTGCTCAAGCTGGAAGAGGAATTACAATGGACAATATTATGGCAGATGTTCCATTTCCGAAAATGGTAAGTTTGATTTCGAAACAAATAGCGGTTAATTTTAAAATATTATTAATAATATTTTAAAATTAATATTCTATAAAAAAATCTTTATTAGATTAGTGAAACTAAAAGTTATTGAATTATGTGGGCTGCTTAAATTTTTCAACTTCCTTTTATAAAAGAAAAAGATTATCTCATTCAATATTTGTATAATAATACTTATCTCATGCAGTCAACTGTAATTTAGTAGGTTTCAAATTTTTTTAAATTTAATCTAAAATAAAATGAAATATTTATTGCAAGTCCTGAAAGTTACCATTAATATTTACATTTATGACATGATATTTTCAAAACTGGAAATTCTAATATTTTCTTAATAAAAAATATTGATTACCGATATTGATTTTTAAATTTTCTAAGAAAAACTGATTTAAAGTAAAAAAAATTACTACTAAAATTTAAATATTGTAATTTTAAAAATCCATTACTAGAAAATATTACTCTATCATTGTCACAATAGGATTTCAATAAATTTTCATAATTTATTAATTTTACCTTCATTTTTCTGATTCCTTAATGTGATTTCAATCAAACATGAAGGGCAACTTAATTAAAGAACTTGTCTATAAAATAAATATTCTTGCAAATAATTTCGATCTACCAAAATTTTTTAATTAAATATTTTTTTTTTTTTTTATAATGCAATAATTATTTTAAAATTACTTATTTGTTATTATTTCAAATTATTTTTATAGGGTGACATGCCGAAAATCACGCCGAACAAAATAATAAATACATCTCAACCTAAAATAGACTGGTCGATTAAACCAGCAGAAAAAATAAAATATGATCAGTTATTTGATTCTTTGCAACCAGTTGATGGAGTAATTCCTGGGAAACAGGTTTAAAAAAATTAAAAATTTCAATTGAAAAGGAAAAATTTTTTAACCGAAAAAAAAAAAAAAAAAAAAAAAAAATGTTTTCGTTACAATTTTTTTAGGTTCGCAGCGTTTTAATGGATTCAAAATTACCTGTTGAGATATTAGGAAAAATTTGGGATTTAGCGGATTTAGATAAAGACGGTAGTTTAAGTCGACACGAATTTATGATCGCAATGCATTTGGTTTATAAAGCTTTAGAACAACACACGATTCCTAATGTGTTGCCACCAGAATTAATGTCTCTTAACAAAAGAAAAGATTCTTTAGTATCTCAATCAAATCTTATTATGCCATCTGTAAAGGTAATTGATTGACGACGAATTCATTTAATATTTATTTATTTTTTTTGATGAATGCGTTAAAAAAAATTGTAAAAAAAAATAACTTTTTAATAATTTTATTTAATATTTTTTAATCTAATTTTTTTTTCCAGCCTCCTGTACCACCACAGCCTTCGATACCTCCTTTGCCTAATATTCCTCCTCAACCTAGTAGACCCCCTTTACCACCCCAGCCTACTCTTGTACCGCACATACAATCACCATCATTAATTTTAAATCAAAACACATTAGGAATGCCACAGTCACAGACAACATCTTTAATGGGTTTAAATTGGGTTGTTTCGGCTGAAGATAAGGCCAAAGCCGATGCTTTGTTTCAACTGACTGATTCCGACAAAGACGGTTTTGTTTCTGGATCTGAAATAAAAGATGTCTTCCTTCAGTCTGGTGTTCCTCAACCAGTATTAGCTCATATTTGGTAAATTATATGATTTTCAAATAAATTAAACCAATAATAATAATTTTACAATTAAATTATAATTTAACGATTTGTAGGAGTTTATGTGATAGAAATCAAAGCGGAAAATTAAACAACGAACAGTTTGCGTTAGCGATGTGGTTAATAAGTCAGAAAGTAAAAGGCATTGAACCTCCTGAAAGTCTTACTCCAGAAATGGTGCCGCCGAGCATGAGAGGAAATGTAGACGGTCTCGTAGAGGTTAGTTTTTAATTTTTTTCTTTTGCATTTCTCTAGTCACAACTTTCATGCCGATCAAAAGAAAAGTGACGATAATAGCTAAAATTCCAACCAAAGTAATATGATGATCGAAACCAATTTTAAGTTTTTTTTCAATGTTCAATCGAACTGTACCCACTAACTTATCTTTTTGCCAGCAACTAGAATCACGAAAATCGATTAATTTTAAATATATATCGTTTAAATTGACAGCATTAATGAGGATACCTGCCTGTAAACGTGATTGTCTTTAAGACGAAGTTTTTTTATGTGAATTCTATTAACCAAATCAACCGTAATTCTTTCATTAGATTCGTTTGCAATGACGTCGGGTAAAATTATTTTTTTATTGATTTTCCAAATAACGGGAATATCTTCGTGTACCGTGCTGAAATTCGTATCGTTAGAGTAGTTTTATATCAAAATTAACTTATTAAATATTAATATCCGGTTGAAAATCAAAACCTCGGGCACTGAATGATGACATCCGAACCGAAATCAACGGATAAAAATCTTCTATCTATATCCGGTGGCGGCGGAGGAATTTTTTGAAAAGCCGAATAAATTCCCGCGGAATTGTTAGCGTATTCCACAACTTGACCGGATTGATCTATCACTTCGAAAATTTCTTCTTGTGGGCACGGTACCTATTTAGTACGTATTTATACTTGTTCATTAATTTACGGCTAAATAAGTAAATTTATTATAGAGAAAAAAAGAAGTAAAATATTGAAAATTACCATGCAATATTTTACATTGGCTTTTATCGATGGCCTTTGTTGAATTTCATTTACTTCTATTTTAGTTACATACGAAGAAAAGCAAGGAACTCCATTTGTAAACCTGTTAATTATTTCCGATAATTGTTTGATATTTGCGTAAATTAAAGTACGATTTTCATTTGCTTTCTTGTCCGATTGCCCAAATTTAAATTCATTTAAAAATTTCAAGTCAGAATTTGAATTTGTAACGGTTCTTTTTGTTAATTTTTTTTTATGCTGATATTCTACAAGAGCAAGTTTTTAGAATTTAACTACAAAATTTTTTTAAGTCAACTTATTATTATTATTTAATTATAGATTTTATATTTTCACTCACCTGATAAGAAATTTTCTTTTACCCATGTGACATAACATGTTCCGTACCTGTATTGTTTTCCCACTTTACCGCAATAACTGCATTCCGTCCAAGGTGTCCAAAAGTAATCGATGTAGAAAGTGAAATTTTGAAAATTTATTAATTCGGTTTTATCCATTGGTGATATTTCAACCTGGAAAAAAAAAAAAAAAAAAATGTACTTTAATTTATTTAAAATTTACAAGTTGGTGAAAATTTATTTCGTCAAGTGATGTTAAAATTTTACCTTTTGTATTGTATCGTTTTTAGATATTTCCAGTATGTATATCGACACAGGATTTTTACCGTAAAAACACGTGTACAGTCCCGAAAATCCTTCGATCACATTAAAAATTTTCAATGTTTTATTATTCGTATATTCCATTTGCGGCATTAAATCCAAAGGCTCCAATTCTGTCGCATTCGATTCCTTCGTCAAAGGTTTATAGTGCCACTCAACGAAATCGTAGTTTTCAAACGGTTTTGCACATAAATTACAATTTAATCTGTAAAAAACTTGTGTAGAAATGAATTGAAATTTCGATGACTGAGGGACCCACACCAGTTCATTCAAGACACTCACATTATATTTTGCCCCTCTAAAAGACGATATATATTATAATAAACAATTTCTTTTCCCTGATCCTCTAAGCACTGATAATACGAAATCCATTTTTGTTGGATTTTTTTAACAAGTTCTTCGTTAGAACCTGGATAAGCTAAATCCTCATCCGACTCTATATATTCAGCGGTAAATTTCGTTCTATTACCCTTCAGTTTGACAAATTTTTCTCCAAAATTTTTATACGCGCTACTACTACTAATGATTAATAAAATAAATTCCAGTAGGATTAATAGTTTCGCGCAGGGAATATTTTTCATTATAATTTCTCTCTCTCTCTCTCTCTCTAAAACGAAATCTGTTTTAAAAAGTTTTGTAAATTATTATTTTATTTATATTTATATATATACAATTAATTAATTACAGGAAGTAGTAAGTGCTCCAACGTATTCAAATCCAGAATTAGAATTAATTGCTACGGATATTGATAAATTAGTAAAAGAAAAAAATATATTGGAAGCTGACATAGCTCAAAAAGAGGCTGATATAAAGATAAAGAATAGCGAAGTTAAAAATTTGCAAAGCGAAGTCGACACATTAGCGGCAACATTAAAACAACTTGAAAATCAAAAGGGAGAAGCCCAAAAGAGGTTGAACGATTTGAAAAATCAGGTGAGAACGAAAAAGAAAAAAAAAAAAAAAAATACCGTAAATATTAGTTTAGTTTAGTTTTTTTTTATTCAAGTTATTGTCGTATTAAATTTATTATTATTTATTTTAAATGCAAAAAGTCGAAAAAAAAAAAAATACTGTTTGATTTGACTAGATGGGGTAGCCTTAGGGATTTTTTTTTATAGTTTTCAAGTAAATAGTGAGAGTCTTGAATTTCCTTTTTTTTTTTTTTAAATTTAATTTTTAAATTTTTTTTACTTTATAATTTCCAAAATGAAGAAAAAAAAAACTTATTAAATTACAAGACTACTAATACTTGTTTAACATTTTGATAAAATGAATTTTTTTTTAATATCTAATTTTACTAAAAATGAATACGAAATAATTTTCTACGCTATGGTGGTTAAGTTCACAGAATTGTCTGTGATAGAATGATGCGATCTAATGCTTTGTTTCTGATTATGCATTAATTCATTTAAAAAAACCATTTTGTTTAATATAAAAAAAAAAAATTGGTGAATTAGATAACATACATGACGAAAAAATGTATTTGTGCCTGAATTGCTACGTTTTATTTATTTATTTTTTATTATTTCTTTTTGTTTTCATTAACTGCTCCAGTTTTTTTATTTATTATTTATTATTTTTTTATTTTGCATGTATTTATGTGTTGCACTCCTTATCCTGATTTTAGAAATCATCTGTCGAACTAGAACTGAGTGATCTCACAAAAGAGGTGGAAGCGGAGATTTCAGTGGTAAGATTGGCATTTTGATGTTTTTTAAGGTTTTTATTATTATTATTATTATTATTATTAATAATAAAAATAACGGCATGTGTTTATTGACAACAGTAATATTTTAAATACGCAAAGTCTTAATAACTTATTAAACATTTAATCGATTTACTTAAATAGGTTAAAAAAAAAAAAAAAAAAAAAAATGTAAATATTTTGGTTACAGGTTGAAAAACTCAAGAGTCAAGCTGCCGAACAGGAAGAATCCCTTAAAAGTCAAGAAACGGAATTGAATAGTAAAAAGCAAGAGCTTGAAAATTTGAAACAGGAAGAAACAAGGTTAGAAAAGCTTCAAGAAGAAAATAAAAAATTGCTTGAAAATCTTAGTCAAAATCTACAAGAGTCTCAACTTCAAATTAGCCAAGTAATTGTTTATTTTTTTTTTTTCTAGAAGGTTTTAGTTTTTTTTTTTTTTTTTTTTTTTTTTTTTTAAAAAAAAATGATTATATCTGTGTTTTTAAACAGGTCAAAGCTAAAATTACCCAATTAGAAGAAATGCAAAGGCAAATGAATGATGCCATCACTGTTTTCGAATCTGCAATAACATCCGGCGATGCTACAATGGTACCGGATTCTTCTCTGAGTATTGGCCCCGATTTTCGAGATCCGGAAATAACAAAATTAACCGTAGTAGAAGATGAGACCAAAGACAATACTTTTAGTAATATTAATGGAACCAATGAATTCGATAATAAAACATTCCCTGATGGTATGTTTTGCACTCTATATAATGTTTGCAACGAGGTAAACCTAAAAAAAAGAAGAAAAAAAAGAAAATGTTTATTATTTAAAAATTTTCAGATGCCTTTTCGAATCATAACGTTGAAAATGCCTTTGGCAATGAAGATCCTTTTACTTCAGCTTTCACAGATTCTAAAAAATCAATCGACGACGGATTCGGAGATCCTTTTAGTGCATTAGGAACAACCAACAGCAGCGGTTAGTATTTAGTTGTTTATACTTAAATATTTTTCGCATTTCATTTGTCTGAAAAAAAAAAAGAAAGAATAAAAATAACGCACAGTATTATTAAATGTTTACAACATATTTTTTTTTTAATTTTATTAGCTGTGACCAGTAGTGATCCATTCGATCCTTTTGGAGATGGAAATCGAAGGTCTGATGCCAAAACTCCAATAGATGTAAGTTTTTTTTTTGTATCAAATACGTATTCTGAGTGTCATACCTAAAAAAAAAATTTTTGATTATTACTTTTTTTTTTTTTCTGTTATAGATGTCTGACAAAGATCCATTTGGCTGTGATCCTTTTGCTAATCTTCATGCTCCCGAAAGACCTACCAATCCGCCTACTAGACCCGAAAGTCCGAGTCCTGCACTGCCACCAAAGAAGTCAAAACAGCCTCCTCCGAGGCCGGCGCCTCCCAGACCTGTGCAACCCACGATGAGGGCGGCTCCCGTTCCGCCTACTCCCAGCCCCGATACCACCACCGTTAGCAGTTCTCAAGATCCTTTTGGAAACTCGGGGGGTTTTGCTAATTTTGCTAATTTTGATAGCAAGGTAAGGCCTCATTTATAAAATTCAAAAAAAAACCCCGTAGTTCGACTGCTTATATTTATATTTTTTGTTTTACTCGTTAGTGTTGTTACCGAAGTACCTGTAACCTCGATTCCAATCCTTCTATCTTCGTAACTAGCCAACCCAATCTCACAAGAACATTTCCCGTATCTCTCCCTCCACCCTCGTCCAAATTCAAACCCCAGGTGAAAAGATAAAAAGAATATTTTTTTTTTTTAAATTTTGTTTGTAAATATTAAATTTAGAAAAGAATCAAACCTTTTAGTTATTTATTTATATAAATTATTATTGTTATTATTATTATTATTATTATTTTTGTTTTTTTTTTTTTTTTTTTAGTGATGAAATCATTTATTGATTGGATCACGTTGTTTTGCATCTGCGCTTGGCATGTTTATCAATTTATTTTCATTTATTTATTTATTTATTTATTTATTATTATTTTTTTTTAGTAATCGAGCTTTTGTTCTAGAATCTACATTTCAGGTATTTTGCATGCGTTCTCTTCGATGTGGTTATCCGGTAGGATCAGAAATTTTTTTTTTTTTTTAGGCGCGAACCGTGTCTATGTTTTATACGATAGATTTTGAAAAATTAACAAGTTAATCATCATTATTATTATTATTATTATTATTTTTTTTTTTTCAAATTTTAAAAAGACAACAAGACGATAATGATGATTAGACGAATTCATCAAAATCTATCCATCAGGTTTTTTATGCACTATTTTTTTTTCTTAGGTGCTTTAAATGTTTAAAAAAAAAAAAAAAACAATTTTCTTCGAGAATGACGTCGGACGGTCTTTAACATTGTTTCGTTGATTATTAAACTTTACAGTAATTTAAAGAATTCTACATTCCTTCAGTTGAAAACGGAACCTAAACCTGGAACAAGAAGGGGCCTTAGACCGGATTCAAAGGATTCTCCTCCAATTTTGAATAATCAAACCGAGTCAACGTCTCCGATTCAAAGTTTACCCGTTCAAAATCGATATGCATCGTTTGAATTCACGGAAGATCCATTCAAAAACTACAGGTACGACGATTTGGCCAACATCGATCCATTTGATGAAGGTACCACCACCACCACCACGACCACGGATGATGATAAAAAGAAAAACATATCAGATAAAAATTTTTTTAATTTTTATGACGATTCAACAAGTTACGAAATCCCGATCGGAAGTGAGAGGGAAACATTTGAATCTAGATTTCCTAAAGTTGACGTTTTCGATTCGGAATTTTCATTCGGAAGTGGGAGAATAAAATCAAACGATGTGCCGCCGCCGCCGCCATCTTCTTCTTCTTTTAACAATAATAATAATAATAATAATAGTAATAATACAATATCGGACAAAGTGAACGGAAACGTAATTAATTTGTTTTCGAATCATTCCAAACCGCCGGTGTTTAGTGATAAAAATTCAAACATCATGACGGGTGTTGGTGATGATGATGATGATGATGGGTTTTTTTTTAAAAAGGACGACGATAAAAAAATGAATAAAAATTTAAAATCAAACGAATTGTTGTTGATTCGGGGAAGGGAAAAGGAAAACAAATTTGACGTTGAGAAAACTTTGCCGAAAGAAGAATTTCAAATGGCTTGGGCGGCAAAAGAAAGTTTAAGATTGGAAGAGGAAAGATTAAAACAAGAAGCTCAAGAAAAAGCCGATTACGAATATGCTTTAGCGCTAAGTAAAAAAGATAGCAACGCAAAAGATAAAAGGACAATCAAAAATTTATTAAAATTGGGGAGAAGCAACAACAGCAACAACAACAACAACAACAACACTCCAGCTGCTTGATGCCCATACTTTCAAAGCAAACAAAAAAATAAAAACAATTTTAAAAAGAGAAAAAAAAAAAAAGAATCATAGAGTAAAAAAAAATATGTGTAATTATATTCTCTATGACAAAAATTAATTGTATTTGTTAAAATGAATTTTTTTTTTTTGAATTTTTCCGATTTGTACATTAGTAGAAAGGCCGATTCTTAAAAAAAAAAAAAAAAAAAAAAATTTATATATATATAAATATACATAAATAAAAATTGATAGCTTTTCTTTCTTTTTTTTTTTTTTTTTTAATGTCGTTTAAATAAATATATATAAATAAAACTAAATGTTTAATCTTCAATAAGCAATTGTTAATAATATTTAAAATTACAAAGCAAAAAAAACGATGATGATGATGATGATAATAATAAAAAAAAAGTTTTTTGTCTTTTAAACTGCTTTTATCGCAAATGTTAATGTTTAGAAATTTATTTAAATTAAATTATGAAAAGGTTTAAAAAAGAAAAATAGAAAGGTTAAGAAAGAAGAAAAAATTATTATTATTATTATTATTTGCCTAGTGCCACCACGTGTTGTTGAAGTTAATACAAGTTTGATTATTTTTTATTTAAAAAAAAAAAAAAAAAACTACCGAAACGTTTAAATTGTTATGGGGGGGAAAAAAAAAAAAATTTTTTTAAGGGTTCGATTGTATTCACAATTAGTAATAATACTAATGATGACAATAATGATGATAATATTAATTATTATTATTATTATTTTCACTTTCACGGCATTAGTATTAGTTAGTATAATATTGTTATAGCACTTGATGAAATTGAAATGTTTGTTTGGTTATGATACGAATGAAGGGGGGCGGGAGCGGGGGAGGGGTTATTATTATTATTATTTATTTTCCGATGGATTTGTTCGTTGTAATTTAATCGGATAATCCGCCTTAATCTTGCTTGTTTATCTTTTTGTTGTTTTCTTTTTGTTTTTCTTTATGTAATTTATATATATTTGAATAAAATATATGTGTATAAAAAAAAAAAACATTCATTCATTCATTCATAGTTTTTTTTTTTTGATTTAATTTGTGATAAATTTTCTTTGGAAAATATTTGTTGGGAAAATAATTTTTACTACTGATTAATAAAAACGCATTAAAATTATTATTATTATTATGATTTTTTTCCCGTTACTTTTAAAAGAGCTTTTTAAAAAAAATTACTAAACGAATGAAAAACTAAAGAAAATTCGAATGGTATAAAAATATCCATAAGCTAAACACGTAAAAGGTCGATCAAGTGCGTGTTATCATCGATCACTGATAAGTATATATATATATATATATATTATACTTTTGAAATTTAGTATATATTATATATATATATGTGAGTTAATATATTAATGTGTGGATAAAATTTTTTATTTTATGTTATTATTATTATTATTATTACTAAAAAAAAAATGAAAAAATTGTAAGTTAGTTGTAATATAATTAGATTGATTGGTTTATTTAAATTGTTCTGTTATGTGGCGCTCACGTTATTATGTATCATCATTTAATTTAAATTAATAATAATAATAATAATTATTATTATTTAATTTAAAAAAACATTAATAAATTATTATTTTAAAACATAATATTATTCATTTCTTTTTGTAAATTTAAACAAATAAATAAATAAATAATAATTGTTGTAATAATTTTTAAAATTAAAAGATTCAAAAAAAAAAAAAAAAAATGTAAAATTTAATAAATAAATAATAAATAATTTAAAAATAAAATCGAAATGTTTATTATTATTATTATTATTATTTTATGGAAAAGTTTAAAACGAAAAAAGAAAAGAAATTTTAACGGTTTTTTTTAACGGTTTCGCGGAAAATTTGATTTGAAGGGGAAAATATCGATCGCATTTAGGGCATTAAAAAAAATTTTTTTTTTTTTTTTTTTTAATCGATGGTTAATAAATTTGATTAATTATTTTTTTTGGGGGGGGGGGGGAAATCTTTGGAAAATCCTTGGAAAATTCGATCGAAACAAAAACGATGTCTGATAAAAGAAAGACACAAAAAATATCGTGTTAAATAAAATTTTTTTATTAAAAGTTTTTTTTTTTTTTTTTGGTTAATTATTATAATCTTTAAAAATTTTTAATTGATAATAATCCACCCCATCACCATATCATTTATTATTATTATTATTTTGTTATTTAAAAATAAAAGTGAAAATAATAATAATAATAGTGTTATTTAGTTAACGTTAACGCTTTCTTTATCGGGTGGCGGTACCAAAACAGTCGGTTCCGTAACATAAGATAATATTTTTTCTAATTTATTTATTTCTAAATCTCTCGGTTCGACATAATTATCCTTTTTTTTAGAAACTTTTGCTTTAAGTCTTAAATTGGGTGATAATTTCAACGTGGTTATAGTACCCCTTTCGTCTCCTACCACGATTATCGGCATGTGATAATTAAATTTTAATCTCGTCGCACGATTTTTCCCCTTTCTCGACACCACATTTTGAGTACATATTGCTTTGTATTTATTTACTTTTAAATCGAATACGTGACATTTTCCATCGACCGTTATGGCGGCAAAAACACTGCTCGAATATGGTGCCCATTGTGCATCTCCGACGGAACATCCAAGATCAAAACAAAATATCGGCGAGCTGATAAAAATGCACGTTTTTTTTTTTAAATGAGTCAAAAAAGAGGAGGGAAGGAAGAAGGAAAATTTTTTTTTTTTTCTCTCACCTTCTTAAATCTTCCCATATTTTAACGGTCCAATCTCCGCTACATGATAAAAATATTGATGAATTGTATCGATTAAATGATATTTTATGTACCGGCATCGTGTGAGCTTCGTACGTGAATAAATATTTCGAATGATACAAAGAACTACATTTAAATATTTTACCTTCTTCGGTACCGACCAAATAAATTTGACGATTTTTCGGATGAAAAGCAAGAACGGTACCGCTGGCTTAAAAAAAAAATTAAAATTTGAAATAATAAGTACAAACGAGTAAAATTTTTTAAAATTAAAATCTCACGGGTACCTTTAATATCGACCATGGCACCATCGGGTCCAGCAACTCTTCGTATGGGTAACGTTAAAGAAATTGTAACCGTTACAATTAATTGATTTTGCATTAAAATCCAATTACAAACTCTTCCGTCGGAAGAAATTGAAAAAACGTTAAATTCACCGTCGGCCATATCTTCTCCCCATCGTACCTTTTTTTTTTTTTTTTTTTGGGTAATTACTCATTTGTTTTTTTATGTGAAAACAAACGCATAATGATAATAATGTAACGTACCTGCCAAATAGCACCTAAATGTTTGTTTACCGAATCGCTTTGATATTGAGGTGCTTTAGTTAAAAGATTTTTATTGTATATCGATAGAGTACCATCGATTCCACCAACAGCCATCAGGTATGCTTCTTTCGAATGGATTGATACAGTTAATAATCCAAAATCGGTTAATCTGATGTATTCCGGAAAAGATGGATTTTTTAAAGTGAACAAGCACAGAGCTCCAGGAAGTGGTTTTGTAAAATCATCTGAAAAAAAAAAACAAAGAAAATTTATTACCGTAATAAAATTTTAAATATTAAAATTAACTTTTCCTTATTGAAAATCTTACAAGAGCCAAATGTGACACCAAATAAATCGTAGTATTGAGGATTCCATTGTATTTCGGTTACTGTTAGTTTTTTAGTTTTTTCGTAGCAAAATTTCCAAAGGGGTAACAATGTCCCTTCTTCCGGTCTGTATTCATCAGAAGGATCTTCGTAATATTTGTAATCTTGAGATATATCGTCGAAAAGATTTTGACAAATCATTCGATCTATAATGTTGGCAGCCTCGTTGGCTTTCATTTGAAGCATTTCCGCTTTTATCGCATCTAATTTTTTTTGCTCCGATTCTTTTACTTTAACTCCGGCAATCGGTTTTTTCTCTTTTTCTTTTTCTTTTTCCTTTTGCTGTCGTTCATAATCTTCAGCGTAAAAATCATAAATCATCCATTGACTAATTAATCCGCTAAAAACTTGACGTGGAAGTGGAGTGGTTTGTGTGGACATGTCCTTTTACGAGGAAAACAAAAGTTAGTTTCGAAATAAAGAA